TAACCCTCTAAATTCTCAACTTTTTTTTTTTTTTTTTAAATAAAAACTTAAAATATATACTGTCATTTATGAAACTGGTGATAACAGATGATGATAATTTTTTAAAGTGTCATCATATGGCCAAAAATAAATACCCAACTTAATGTTGCTTCTCAAAATTAAAAAAAGAATTAAACTAGTTTATGAAATCGAAAAGTCTGGAAACCATAGACTTGCATCACAGATTACAATTCCATTTTTACTTGGTAAAAAACAACAACAAAAATTACTTAATATTAATGAGTTTTCTCAAAGAATAATTATATATACATTGATAAAAATGTTCTTCTTCTATAGAATATGATGCTTATTTATTAAGCAAGGAATAGCTATGTAAAAAATTATACTTGTTTTTCCTTGAGATTTCTAGTGTGATGTTAGTTGTTTCACAGTTTCAGCAAATGTTTTCTTCATTATAACAGATGGTATCCTCTTTGCAAATACATTTCTTCAGCTGTCTTAATAACACAGTTGTCTCTTAATAGTTTTGCAGTTCATCCATTTATCCCAGAAACATTTGTTGAGCTCTTTTATGTTTTAAGATACTGGAAGTAAAATAACGAATTGGATACAGTTCTTGTCTTCAGGTGAGGGACAAGGAGACTTAAATAAGTTCAAAACAATGATGGTGAGAGAGTATAATAAAGATAAGAAAATGCTACAGGTGGTAATAAGGAAGAGAAGGCCAGCTATGTGTGGTGGTAGAAGGTCAGGAAGGCTTACCAGGAGATGGAAAGTCTGCATATAGGACTGTCCAAACCACTTCATGTGGTCACCAAGTTCTTGGGTGGTATGGTCTCTTCATTACCTCTGCAAGTCTTATCACAATCACTCACTAACCTCTCCCCAACCCCTAACACCCACCCCTACCCACCCACCCCCACACACACTAATGCTGTAGCCCACTCCTGTCTATTTAGAACTTTCAAAACTCACCGTGCTAATCACACTTTCATACCTTCTTACATGTTACCTGGATTGCTCTTCCTAACCTGGGTTTGAAGTTGATGTCCAATATGAAGCCTGTGCTGATGTGCCTCTATTCCAATGAGCCAGGCCTTTCTGCTCTGTGCTGTCCTCCCCTTTCATTCATGCTGTCATAGCATTTAGCACTTCTGAATTGTACTTGTGTAAGGAAGCTAACACACAGGATTAGATTGTCAAATCAGACTCAGTGAATCAGTATTGTGCTTTTACTAATAATTTCGAGGAGACCGGCAATCAGAGGCATAGATGAAGCTGAGAGAGATCTGGGACATTCCATATGGCGCCCTAGATCACCTTGAAAAACCTCCCTTGGAAATGTCATTCAGTGCAGGAGAGGAGGTCCTGGGGAACCACATGGGATGTCCCAGACCTCTCTCTGCTTTGTCTGTTTCTCTTGATTGCCTATGTCCTTGAAATTATTAGTAAAGCTCAATGCTGGAGAAAGACTCTGATTCATATGAGTCTGATTTGACAATCTAATCCTGTGTGTTAGCTCAGTGTGTAACTCTCATCCTTCCGTGGCTTCCTGTAGTGGATTAATGGCAATATCCTCAAGATGGTCTAAGGCCATGCAGCATCATTGTCTGTCCCTACCTACTTCTTTAGCACCATCTCTTACCACGCACCCCACCATTCCTTACATTCCAGATCAATAGATGTTTCAGTTCCTGGAAAGTGCCCGATTCACACCTGCCATTGAGTCTTTAAACATAGTTTCTACCTTCCAGAAGACTCTCCCATCAGCTGTCCCAGGCCCTTCCCCTTCCTTAGCCTCCAATCCCTATTTTAACTCAAACATTCCTTCCTCCAGATAGCCTTTTATGACTCTCCAGCAAAGGGCAGGCTTGATAATTATGTCTTTTTAAAAGAAGATTTCTTATAGCACTTATCTGAGTTCATAATTATAATACACATTTGTGTGATTATTTATGTTTTTTCCCCACTAGACCATAAGCTCTGTGAGACCAGGGGAAGTATCTGTTTCTACTAGAAAAGTTCCCACACACTGCATTTTAGAAATATTTGTTGAAGGAATGAATGGTTGAAAGAGGAGAGAGAATTTTGACAGCAGTGTAGATAGACCAGAGGCAAAGAAGCAAGTAAGTGCTGCTTATTATAATAGTCCAGGCAGAAGATGATTAAAGCCCAAGAAAAAGAAATGGAATTGACTTCTGCTACTCATTATGTGGGATCTTGGGCAAGTTATTTAATTTCTCTGGATCTCAGTTTCTTCATTGACAAAAAGAGGATAATAATAGTATCTGTCTCCTAAGTTTGTTATAACAGTTACATGGAACAATATATGTAGAGTTTAGTGCATAGTGAGCATGAGATTAGCACACAGAAATGCCTGTGTTGTTGTTAGCTGCCATCCAATTGCCTCATGCCTCATGGTGACTCCATGTCCAACAGAGTGAAATGCTACCCAGTCCTGCACCATCTCCATGATGGTGGCAGATTGGATTGTCGTGATCCATAGGCTTTTCACTGGATGACTTTCAGAAGTAGATTGCCAGGCTTTTCTTCCTAGCATGTCTTTGTCTAGAAGCTCTGCTGAAACCTGTTCAGCATCATAGCAACACACAAGACTCCACTGTCAGGTGGGTGGTGGCTGTGCATGAGGTGCATTGGCCGGGAATCGAACCTGGGCCTATCATATAATCCTATTCAAATATTAGATCTAGAGTGCAAATGTGGCTTTTATTTCCTTGTGGCTAAAGTAAAAATGGAAAGATGATCATTTAGAAAGTTCATAATGCTCTTAAGCAAAAATAAACTATGCATTCATGAAGAGAAAAGCTCAGTTTCCTTCTTCCCGTCTCTCATCGTCCAGCTAGAAGAAATTTCTCCTACTGGTTTCTCAATAAGAGGTCAGTGAAAGATATAACGGATGGACCAAGATCTCTATGGAAACTACAATAAGGAGTTCTTGGCACTGTCTCACATGGCCACCCTTCTATACAAACTAAGGCCAAAGTAACTTTGGAGGGGCCATTGTTTTGAAGATATTTGAAAGTCTGAAATGACTAAAGGAAAAGACTTGGAATACCAAGAGAAGTGGTGGTTAACCCAGGGTGTCAAGATACCTTGAAATCACCAAATTGTGGAAGTGCCTGGTGTAGAGTAAGTGGTTTATACACATCTAGAGAAATACACTTCAAGGAAAAAGGGAATTGCAGGCAGAAGAAATAGCATGTGTAGCAAATGGAAGCAGGGAGGAAAATCTGCTAGGAATTTAGGTGGGTTAGGTCTCAGGCCTCAGGGGTAAGCCACAAAATGATAGTGAGGGCTAAAAGCAAGAGTCTGTAGTGTAGCTATAGGCTTAGCTGGGGCCATGGATGGAAGGAGAAACCCTGTTCTTCTGGGGGTGGGTATGCCCACAAGTCAGAGCGAGGAGGATGGCTTAGAATTATGTCTGTTTTAACATGGCAATATATAGGAGGAAAGAAATATCAGTTGGAAAACTCATCATCAGTGATTCAGGAACATCGAGAAGCCTTCCCAGACTCTGTCATCCAAATGGAACTGGATACTTTTGAAAGCAAATATTGACTGGAGGGAAGCCAATAAAATGCTCACAAAAAATTCCCAGTCATCATCCATCCCACAGGGAATGCGCCAACCAATGGAAGAGGTATAAAGAATATTTCAGGCAGAGACAAGGCACCCTAATGTGTAGAAGAATGACTACTCTATTTCCAAGTTGGTTTATTCAGTTCTCTTTCTGTGTACATTAGACTTAACTTTCACCTTGTGAGCCCAGAGGGCCTTCATAATCCTATTTGGCAAAAATAACTTTCAAGCAGGCATTTACCTAAAATGCCTCTGATAAGTATGGGGATATGAAACACCACTTTCTTCTTCTTTACATTTCCATCCCTTCTGGGTGACTGTGTGGTAAAATGTGAGACCAGAAATCATATAGGTTGAAAAGTAAGAATTTCTTGTTTTTTTGTTTTTGTTTTTTCACAAATTGAGATCTAGTTTTTTTATTTTCTAGTTCATAAATAACAAGCTACTTCCTAATTAAAAAACTTCCCATTGAAAACTCAGAGGAAACAACAGTTTTCACTTTCATGGCGTATTTGGTTTTATGGTTTATGATAATAAACGGCAATATTACATGTTTGGTCTTGAGTGCTTCGGAGCTGTCTGATCTGTCACTGGTGTCAGGTGGGGTGAAGCCAGTATATCTATTTGAAAAACCCCAATGTAGAATATACATTTAAAATCCCTGTCATCTGTGTTCTTAAAGAACATACACCACAATTCTTCTGTTCTCAATTTTTTTTTCAATTTTACTGTGTTTTAGGTGAAAGTTTACAGCACAAATTAATTTCGCATTCAAAAATTTACAAATTGTTTTGTGACATTAGTTACAATCCCCACAATGTGTCAGCACTCTCCCCCTTTCCCTTTCTACCCCAGGTTCTCTGTGTCCCTTCGTCCAGTTTTCCTGTCCCTTCCTGCCTTCTCATCTTTGCTTTTGGGCAGGTGTTGCCCATTTGGTCTCATATACTTGATTGAACTAAGAAGCACATTCTTCATGTGTATTACTGTTTGTTTTATAGGTCTGTCTAATCTTTGGCTAAAAGGTAGACTTCGGGAGTGGCTTCAGTTCTGAGTTAACAGGTGTCTGGGGGCCATAGTCTTGGGAAAATTTCTGTTTTTGTTTTCCTCATTAAATTATTTTGTTATTAAAATGTATTAAAGAATCTTTTCACATCAAGCAGCTCCTCTAAGCTTCAGATTCTGCAGATCTCCTTTCCACGAGTCAAATCTTTTATGGTTGGTTCCTCTAGCCAGGCACATGGGCCTGGGTAGAGATAGATTGGATCCTAGCCATACAACAGGCAAGGCTTGATGTGCTGAAGGGCTCAGTTGTTAATATGTTAGAAGAACAAGGCTTGGATGGAAACCCCAGAAACGTCTATGACTAATATGTATGTAAAATCAATTAATAGGGACTTGATAAAATCAAAACAAAAACATAAGAACCTGCTTAATTTAGTCTCTATGTATGGAGGAAGAAATTGGCACTCTAATTCTGACATGGGCTTCTGGGAAGAGGCATCTGTAGGTACTATAAAAAGTATGACTCAGAGTTAGATATACCTGGAATGTACTTGGCATCCAAATGGCAGGATGCAAAGAATGTAATACTTGATAACTGAAAGTGCCTTGTGAAAGGTTAATATGACATTTCTATGAGGAAATCTCTTAGAGTTTATTTTTGGGTTGTTAACTAGAGAAGTACGCTTGAGTGCCTGTCATATTCAAGGCATGGGGCTAAGTCAATCTGACATGGAGTCCACACAAGACTTTCATTTTGCAGCATGCATGCAGTAGGAAGAACTATAGTCCTCACCTAAGCCCTGCTACCTGCCAGTCTTCTGACTTAGAAGCACATTGAAATTCAGGGGTTGAACCAGATAACGTTCTAAGGTCCCATCAAACTCAAATCTTTTATGATGATAGACTAGACAACACTATTGTTGTGTGTCGTCAAGTGGATTCTGACTCATAGCGACCCCATAGGACAGAGTAGAACTGCCCTATAGGGTTTCCTAGACATGTTATCGGAAGGGATCAGTCCCTGGAGAAGGACATCACGCTTGGCAAAGAAGAGGGTCAGCAAAAAAGAGGAAGACCCTCAAAGAGATGGATTGACACAGTGGCTGCAACAATGGGCTCAAGCATAACAACAATTGTGAGGATGGCACAGGACCCAGCTGTGTTTTGTTCAGTCATACACAGGGTGGCTATGAGTTGGAACCAACTCACTGGCACGTAACAACAACATGGGGTTTTCTAGACTGAAATCTTTATTGGAGCAGGTCGCCAGGTCTTTTTTCCTGTGAAGTGGCTGGTGGTTTGAACTGCTGATCTTTCAATTAGCAGCCGAGTGCTTAACTGTTGTGTCATCAGGCGCCTTAGACAGTACTAGGCCTTTTTAATTCCTTTGCAGAAAAACAAGGTTATGAGGCCTATTTTTAAAAATCTGTATTCAGAGCTGTTAGGGATAAAGATTAAGAAAAAATCAGATTCCTCTTTATGGGTTTGCAGGTAAATTTTAAAATTTAAAAACCTGTGATGGTTTTTAATACTTGGTTTTTTAATAACTTTAGTAAAAAGTCATTTAGCTTTTTATGTGTTTGTTTTGTTGATCATTTGTATCATTGATGATAGTGTAAATAACTAAAAAGAGTTGTGTTTAAGTTTTTTCCAGTGAGAGATTTTTATTATCTAGAAATCACTGTTTCCTTTCCTCTGTTTCAAATGAATGAATAAAATATAAACACTCTTCCCTCAAGTCACAGCAATTAGGTGTGTGCTATTAAAAATAAAAGCAAACAACATCAGCATCTTATGGTGGCTAAGGACCATTTACTGGCTAGACCCTGTTAACTTTATTAAAGATCTCAAACATACATACTCCCTGGGGTTACGTGGGCCACCTCTCTTACCTGAGGAGCCGGAGTTCTGCCAGCAGAGTGGGGTTCTGTTGCGCCTTCTCTGGGGTGGGCTGAGAAGCTTGTTCGTGCTCTAGCCGCAGCCTTTGGATCTCCTGTAAGATTTCTCTTAGAAGAGAGGAGGAAGATAAGAAACCAGGGTCAGTTAACTTTCAAAATACTGACATCTGAGCAGACCAGGGCCACCAGAGCAAAGAATGAGGGGCTCATCTTAAGTTTAGGGGCAGAAATGACCCTCACTAATCAACGGAATATTTTTAAGACCATGGCTATTTGGTGCTATGGGTGTCTCTAGTATATCCAAATCATGAAAGTTCTGCAGTATGAAGTTGGAGCCATCAAGCCAAGCATTATTTCCAGGACCTCGTCTCTAGAGTAGGAGTCCCTTGGGTGTTGGAAATGTTTAAGCACTAGGTTAACTATTTGAGAGGTTAGTTGTTTGAATCCACGCACAAGCACCTGGAGATCTGCTTCTGAAAGGTCACTGCCCTAAAAACCCTGTGGAGCACAGTTCTACTCTGCAATACGTGGGGTTGCCGTGAGCTGGAACTCCATGGAAACTGGTTTGGTGTTTTTTTTTTTTTGTTTGTTTTTCCAGTAGTCTCTATAGTAAGTAATATAATGCTGTGGTAATGTGTTCAACTTAGGAGAGTGCACTGCTTAGGAGACAAAAATGTATCTTCCTATTATTTATGATCACACTCTGACACAATAAAGTGCCTGCAGCTACCAAGAGAAGAGGTGTTTTGAGGGAAAATAAGGATAAATGATGCTCATTTCACAAAACTAAATAATCTCATTCTCTCACCAAGAATGAAATTCCTCTCACTGAATTTGTCTGAGAATCCCCAAGTTAGGCAAAACCCCTTCTCTTTTAGCTTAGCATTTTCAGCCTTAACTATGGATCTCAATGAGGGTAGCCTCAGAAGGAAAGTGCTTTTAAAAGGACTCACTGTAATTGAGTCTGTGACATAAAAGTGCTATTGGTGTGACCTCTTTCAGGGGGTGAGACACATCAGTCTGTTATTGATGTTGGGGGCCTGGGCTGCCCTACATTTAGGCGAACATTAGGCTGGCCACAAAGGAGATGTGACCCGGGCAAGGTGAATTATCCCTAAGTGAGTCAGGAGCCATTAAGCAAGGTTACAAGTCACTTATTCTTGGTGTGTGTGGGAGTGACAGTCTCTCGCCCAACAAAATGCACAAGAGCCAATAAGACAGAACAAAGCACCACAAATGAAAGGTGGACTGGGTGAGCAAGGGGAATGGCTGTCCATTTGAAAGGTTGATTTACAAAGGCTTGCTTCACAAACACACGACAGACTCAGGAGGCTAATTACAGTAAGTCACCACATCTCTCAAGGGTGTAGTGAAAAGGCTGAACTATGATTCAGTGGCTTTCAACCCTTTGTTTTATCTCCCTTGATTTTCCATGGTGGAAAACTTTCTTTAAAAGAAATCTTCTATGGAAACCCAATACGTCTCACAGTTAAGAGGGAGCTTCTCTGGTCAAAGAAAGGGTGGACCCCTGTGCTTCTAGCTCTTCTCCACCTTCTTCAGTGCCCTCTGAGGCACCACTGCAGAGCCTCCAGGATCCCAAAGGGCACAGCCTGAAAATAAGTGGACAGTGCTGACATCCTGATATTCTATGACTCCTGCTAGTTCTCCCTGTTGGATTTAAGGACAGAACCATGACAGATTAGCTCTTTAGCTCAAGGAAGGAAAAGAGAGAAGTAGCTCTGGTAAGAAAAAGTAATTATAAGGTATGTAACATGCACTGAGTGCTTAGTCTATACCCAGAAACTATACTGTCTAATTTAATCATATTTTATTGAATCCTTGCAACAACGCTGTTACATGTAAGGTACTATTATTATCTCTAGTTCATAGGCGAGGAAAACATGGCAGAGACCAGTTAAACGATTTGCCCAAATTCAATAACAATAGGTGGTAGAGATGATTTGAACCCAGGCTAGCTACCTCTGTAGCCCGTATATATCAGACTGCCTCAATCTTCTTGTCTTTGTTTTGACAGGTCTAGCCTAGGCAGGCTGTGACTTATACAGTGTAATTTGAAGTCTTGCTGTTCCTAAGAATAACTCTGATGGGCTCCTCCAAATATTAGGAGTTCCTCCAAGGGTACTAAAAGGAAGCATTATCTTCTGAAGGTCATTGCTGAAATGTCCATGAATTACTTAGGTAGACTGAGTCCTGAGGTGGACGTGAGGAACTCTGTCCTCCCCATAAGTTCAGAGATCTGATTATTGGGTTGTCACCCTGGAGACCCCGGGACCCCTGAGGTGAGTTTCTATGGTGCAGCAGTGTGAGCTACAGAAGCTTCTGGAACCTGGCTGTGGGGTCCTTGGAGAGCATGAGGCTGCCATCTTAGAGAGATGAGTTCAGTATGGATTAAGTGCTTATCAGGGTTGGGGTGGGGAATACTAGGAGCCATGAATGAACTCAGGAACAGGACGAATCTTTCTTTTTCCTTTCTCTGGTCCTAAACCCAAACATTCAGAAAGTGTAATCCCAAAAAAAGGAAAAGCAATAAGAGTGGTACCATAGCACAGCCAAGATTTTCATGGCCCTTCCTGCTTGTCCTGCAATCAGAAATAGACCCACACAGAGATGGATACTCCTGGGATATTTTCTCAAAGGAAGTCCTGATTTCCCCTCAAGGGAAATCATGCTAGACTGGAAGCAGAGAATTGGAAGGGAGAACGAATTTCTCTGGAGAGGGAGAAGAGTAGGGTTAACACTGCAACCAAGACGAAATACTCGTGGGCTTGTGAGCTTTACTTAGTCCTCTCCTTCTAAGGACTGACATAGGAGAGAGGTTGAAACTTGTGGAAACTCAGGCCAAGCGTGACCTGCTTTTCCTGTTATTGTAAAATGACTCTCTTTGACCTTGACATTCTATTTCTTCTTTTCCACCTCTAACCTCTTACTTTACTCTTCATTTCAGGACAGATGGATAGAAAGAAGGAAAGAACAGCAGAGTGAAAGGGAAGAGGGCTGTTAGTGAAATCTGAGTTGTGTGAAAATTATTATTTCCTGGATGTTTTGAAGTATGTCTATAGGTTATTAATGAATGCACCAGTTAACAGTTGCTGTCAAGTTGATTCCAACTCATGGAGACCCCGTGTGAGACAGCAGAACTCTGCTCCGTAGGGTTTTCAATGGCCGATTTTTTCAGAAGTAAATCCCCAGACCTTTCTTCCGAGGAGACTCTGGGTGGACTTGAACCTTCAACCATCTGGTTAGCAGTCGAGTGTGTTAACTGTTTGCACCATCCAGGGATTCCTAATGAATTCACACTCTGATTTAAAAAGCTAACCTGTCTAAAAAGTCTTACCTGTTCTTGTTTTCTAGTTCTGCAATCAACTGCCTTTGTTGCTTATTTGCATCAATGGTGAAGGAGATGTCAGGAGCATTTCTCTGCTGACTTGGCTGCTGTAAAATACGTGGGTTACACTATTTAATATCGGGGAATGAGAACCCACATGTATTTGAGGAGACATGAATCATGAGATATGCTGACAAGGAAAAGAAAACCATTTCTCCCCAAACAACATAAAATCAAATTGCCATTCTGGTCATCCCAGAAAAGGATGACCTTTTCTGCAGATCTGGGGCACATACATACAACGGAGAGCAGAACAGAATTCTTTGGCAGGCAAATACACAAAACAGGAAAAACTGATTTTCAATTTTCCGACCTGAAGTCTTCGGGAAGCTATTTAATTCCTGGCATACTGGCCTGATGTAATTATTCTAGTCCCTATACAGGTTTGGAAAAACATTTTTCTGTTGACATAACTCTTTTTCTAGAACTACTGTTCAGCCAATATAATTTCTAATTAAAAATGCCATAGGTTTTTAAGTCATAGTTCATAAGATTTTATTTTCTTCTGTTTTTGGTCAACATATTTTGGTGCATTTCTTTATTCATATATGTAATTTTACTTTGATGGATTCATATATATATTTGCTTACTCTAACTTCATACCACACCACCCCATCATTCTTAGTCATGCAGCCAGCGTTAACAACTGTTTATATGCAGTCACAGTTTTCTCCATTCTCCTTTAATCGTATATATCATATATTATAGCTGTATATCTCTATATAGGCGTATGTGTATTTGGTCAAGAGTTTATATGTCCTTGTTTTACAAAATTGCAGTCAGATTCTACATACTTCTCTGTGCTCTGCTTTCTTCATTTCTATAGTATATTATGGACATTCCTCCAAGATAATTTTTATTGTTTTTAAAACAAGTGAAAAAAATCATAATCTTTCTACCAAACAAAGCCAAGATATTAAATATGGCACCTATTGCCTAAGCCAAAAGACATGGCAAAACACAGCCTACTCTTTCATGTTCCAAAACTTAATTGTAGGAAAGGTTAGGCTTTGCAAAGGTCTAGTTTTCATAGACCTCTTCTGTGATTTTTAATTAGCAATCCTTTTAATCAAAAAATGATTTATGTTGCTAATGAATAACTTTGAGCTCTTATGTTTTATATCTTAAATGACTATACCTATGTCTGACATGGAGATACGGCAGCTTTGACCTGTGATCCAGGTTTTTCTTCTGATTTCATTACATCATTTTCTCTTTCAGGCATGTTGTTGTTGTTAAGTGCTATGGAGTTGATTTGGATTCATAGTAACCTCATGTAACAGAGTTCAACTGTCCCATAGGGTTTTCTAGGCTGTAATCTTTACGGGAGCAGATTGCCAGGTCTTTTCTCTCCCGTGGAGCTGCTGGTGGATTTGAAACCGCCAACCCTTCAGTTAGCAGCTGAGCGCTTAACTATTGCACCAGCAGGGTGCCTTCTTTAGTGCAAACATTTTATGTATTGATAAGGAGAAACGTATCCGATCCAGTTGTGGATTTGAGTCATTGCTTTGCTCTTTATATTAACTGATCAGAAATTAAAGGTGTTGGGTTGGCTCGGCAATGTTGTATCAGAATATCTCAAAACGATTTCTGGCATAACGGAATTATAGCTGAAAAGTGAAAAAACAAAAAAAGGAAGCAGTGGAAGGGCCAGGTAATTTTTAGGCCTTGCAGGCCATATGGTCTCTGTAACAACTATTCAGCTCAGCTGTTGTAGCACAAAGCCATGTGTAGACAATATGGAAATAAATGACAATGGATGTGTTTCAATAAAACTTTATTTATGGACACTGAAATTTAAATCTCATGTAATTTTCACATGTCACAAAATATTATTTCTCTTTTGATTTTTTTTTTTAATCATTAAAAAATATAAAATACATCCTTAGCTCATGGGTCATATGAAAGTGAGCTGGATTTGACCTAAAGTAGTTTGTTGACCCATTAAGAGTTAAGAAGTCTATTTCATTTATTTTATTTTTTAATCAATAGATAGTTGCCAACACAGGGGGAAAATCAAAACCAAACCATAAACATAAGAAACAATGTATTTCTTTGAAGTAAAAACATATAGCACCTAACTTACTTGTTTTTAAAAATTAGGGCTCAGGATTTAAACGCAGTCAATAAACACAACAAATAATAGATGGTAGGTTAGTTCTATATGATAGGGCTTATTGGGAGAAAAAGCAAGAGGGAAGAAGAACAATGAGGGATTTGAATTTGGAGGAGATAAAAGAAATATAGGCAGATTAAGAGAGGCAAGAAGTAGAAATGGAGACAGAAAGAAAAAGGAGAAAAGAAGAAATATCATTTATCAGTGCTTACTATGTGTCAGATAGCATACTTTACACGTGTAATTACGGTTAACCTCTTTAATGGATGACAAGGAGAAAAATAGAGACAGCAAAGCTAGAGAGATAGAACAAGACAGATTCAGAGTGTTACTGATAAAAGACAAGATCACTACATGTGAAATGTATTAGGTGGATTTCCTACTCCCCTTCCTATCCCCCATTTCTTGGCAGAGTCATAGTGACATGCAGCCATGTCTCAATTTTTGACCTTCCAGAAATCCAAGATTATATCCTCATATGGCTGTTAAAGGCTTACAACATTTTCAAAATTATGAGCTATGGAGATTTCTGATACTGTTTCAAAGACTAGATCTGGCTTTCTGACTATATCCTATTAACAAATTTGATCAATTAAAATTTTCACTGAATTCATGGGTTATTTTATTATCTTGTACACAATGTTTCAGACTCAAGTCTTGAACTTGAAGATACTGTACTGTTTTCATTTAGGCAAAACTTTCTTACCTTTCAGGCTCCTTCAAATTTATTGATTTATTCAGTCTTCCATTCAGTGCATTCTTTTAATCCAACACCTGTTATCTAACAGGTACTGTGGCAAATGTCATATAAAAAGATATGTTTCTTGTCCTCAAAGATTTTACAGGCAAATATAATTGGCATAATAACTACTATGGGTAAAGTTTGTACAGTGAAATGTGTGAGAGCTGGAACTCAATGGGACTGCCTTGTTTTTCCGGGTCTCACAAGTTTTCCACCTTTGACAGGGTGCTGTCTTACTGCTTTTCTGTTGCTCATTTTAGTGGAAAATGCGTTTTCCTTCTCTGGCAGGGTTCCACCATACACAGGCTACAGCTTTCGTAGATTTTACCGTATATGATTCAATAGGTGCACAGAGGAAACATGCTTAAATTATTAAGATAATCAATGAGGAAATAAAGGGGAGATGACATTTGAGCTGACTTATTAAGTTGGAATTGACTTGATGGCTGCTGGTGGTGGTAGAGTAAGTGAGAATGGAGATGTAGTGGGTGGGTGGACTCTAGGTTTCAACATTGTATATTTGGGAATAGCTGTACCATAGGGTATGGAGAGTTAAGTATAGAAAGGTGGGATGTTATAGGAAATGCGATGATTGAGTAGAAAAACACAGTAAGGAAAATTGTAGAGATTTCCATAGTAAATGACCTCTCCATCTCTTTTCTAATCTGATAATATTTTATTAATTAGGATTTATTCAAGTTCATAATACAATTCTTAATATGTGCTTAGAAAGAGATTTACAAAGGAACTCAAACTAATGTGTGGATGGTATCTTCCCAGTGATGGATCCACAGAAGTTAAATATGATGTAAGTAGGCAAGAAACACAAGTAATTAATGTTCTTGAGAAAGAAATGGAAGTAGAGACTGGAGAAGTTAATGCACATATAAATAGTGACATGAGCATAGAGATTTAGCATCCACGCCAGGGATTACTAATTCAAATGTCAAAAGGGGCCAGGGAGGTGACCTAAATGATTGACAGGGGCCAGCTGTGGCAAAGAGGTGAGTGTGGTGGCAAAGAGGTGAATGCTTGCCCTGTTCAAGTCAATCTTTCAAGTAAGCTGAAAATGCAGAGTTTTAAGGAAATCACCTGATTTGTAAATGCTGACTGTTAATACAAAATAAAAAACACTGTGGAGGCCAAACAAAATTTTCTGTGGGACAGATTTTGGTCTGTAGGTTGCCAGTTTGTGAGCTCTGGTTTATGCAGCACTTTCAGACATTTCATTATCTCATTTGACCCTCATAACAGGCAGACTGGCAAGTATAATAATGATAATTTTTCCTACTTGTAGATAAGGAAACTGAGCTCAAAACGGTACGACTCTGCATGAGATCATGGAGAGCTGGGACTCAAACTCACAAATTCACACTGCTCATCTCATGTCTCACTAAATCACACTGTCTACAGAGTATATACATGGGTAAAGGCAGGGAAACTTGGAAAGGAGGTTTTTCCAGAAACTTGTCTTGTCTTTCCTTTCCAGTGACCCCTAAGGGGATCACTTCTCCTAAAATCTGGTTCTCCCAGATAATTTTATTTTTTATACTGCTTTTGTTCTTTACTTATGGTATTTAAGGTTTCACACGCTCCAATAACATCTCTGTTTCACTGTGTGAGATTTTTGGGCCATAAAGTCACTTTTAGCCTCTCCCAGACTCCTTCTCCTCTTGCTCATGGTAGTTTTTAACGTTGTCACAGTCACTAATCTGAACAGAGAGCAAGTGCCGGAGCTGATGCAATGGGTCATTATACAGTCCCAATGTTGGATCATTAGCTAAATGCTGTGCATGAAGGGCTGTGATTAACTGCAACATCCGATGTGACGCAGTTGACCACAGCTTCCCACTTGCTCTCCTGCCACCCATTGTCCTTTGTGATGCACTCATCACAGCTCACCCTCAGTTCTGCACAGGTGAATTCTGAATAAAGATGTCAGGTTGATTGGTTTTGTTTTAGAGAAAGCAGCAGATGGAGAGAGGTATCATCCCTGTTATTGTCAGTAGAATATTTTAAATGTTACTTGAAACTGTTCTGCTGCAAACCTAGTGTATTTCCTAAATATACCTGTTTAGACTCATTAAAGGAACCGTAACTAGTCCTCACCCCCTTTCTCAGGTCCTCACATGGGGATGGGGACTGAGTTAAGGGGAACACGGGGCCTCCAGGTTGATCATAGTGCCACATGACCTTGGATGGCACTGTTCTTCAAGTCTGCCATTTTTAGACTGGGAACTCATGACCAAGATACCACAAACAAAGCAACAAACCTACAAACAATAAATTAGCACAAATTGTCCAGGTAATTAGAATCAACTGTAATGATAACAATGAACTTAACATATGAGATGCCAACAGATGGATGCTCTCAGTCAAACTACTTACAGACGAGGAGGACTCTGCTGCCAGTCTTGCTGCGTACCTGGCGATCAGCCTGTGTTCTTCATCAAGCCGGGTTGAGCTATCAAGCATACTGTTAAGAACAGAGAAAGAAGGAGGCTGTTAAGCACTGAGAAAGATGGGCATATTCATCTTACCATCAGGGTTTTTTGCCATTTCAATTTTTCAACGCAAAAATTTGAAAGCTATTCAGAATCCTGTTAGGTTAATGATCCCAGACTTAGATTCATGACAGGATCAAATATGTGGTCAGGAAGGTCATTAATAAATCTTGTCTTCAAGCAATTCAATTGTTTTACAAAGAAAAAACTCCAAACAGGAGTGACTTTTCTGATCAATATTTCTGATAAAAGAACGGTTTCTCTTTAATTTTATTGTCTTTAACATTTTTATTTCTTTATTACACATGTAATATATGTCCAAAATAGACATGTTAGAAAATTTGGAGGATCAAGAAGGAAACAAATATTAAAACAACTACAGTAAGCCTTTAGGGATTCTATTCACACACACTTGTGTAATCACTTCTCCTTCAGTGTGGACTGGATTTAATTGGCTTGCTTCTAGTAGGTAGAATATGGCTGAAGTGATGGGATGCAACTTCCAAGTTAGGTCATAAAAAGACGTGGCTTCCATCTTTGGCATTTTCTTTCTCTTGCACTCTTGGATCACTTGCCCAGTAGGAAGTTAGTGGCCATGTCATAAGGCAGCCTTGTGGAAAGGCTCATGTGACAAGAGATTGAACCCAGCCAACGACCATATGAAAGGATCCCCCTAGAGCCTTCATATGAGATTGCAGCCCCAGCTGACAGCTTGACAGCAACCTCATGAAAGCCCTTGAGTCAGAGGCATCTAGCTAAGCCATGCCTGGATTTCTGACCCACAGGAACTGTGAGATAATACACGTTTGTTATTTTAAGCCGCTAAGTTTTGGGGTAATTTGTTATGCAGTAATATATAACTAATACCATTTTAACCTATAATATTACTACCTAGGTAACCCAGGTAATTATATTTACTTCCACAGAAATGGAATTATACTAGTGACTCCTAGTGACATTAGTGGGAATGAACTGTTTAGTGTCTCCTATAGATTTATAAAAATTATTCATACTAGAATAAGGATGGTTTGAGTCTAAAATCTAATGCAAATAGAAGCATTATTACCCCTCCAATATTTCAGAGAACTTCATCCTCGAAAGGCTTTCACTTAACAACAAGTTTGGTTGCCATTTACAAATATTCTATGAGCTATATCAGTAACATTAATCCTGTTAACAGAGTAATTGGTCACAGTTTGGTTTATCCGTTATTGTGCAATGTCTCAGGTCAGAATCAAGATTAGAAACTGGTTCCTCTCATTCCCAAACATACTCAGAGTCTTCTCCATTATTAGCTTTTATACTTAAGCGTGCTCCTTAAAGAAAAATACTCATGATTACGCATTAAGATGACACACTCCTATGCCAATATTAAGATTGTAAGAATTCTCCATTGCAAAGCTTGGATTCACATAAAGTAGCATACATTTACATTATTTATATGTATATTTACATATAAAGTAAACATGCAACATACATAGTCTTTTATAATTTGTCCTAAAGTGAGAAGATGAGGGAAAATCATCATGTGTTTCCAGTACATTAGCTATCTCGTATCCACATAGCTCTTCCCCAGTTGGCTGAATCCATTACTATAATATTTTTTTGATCATTGAGAAAACGTCACTGTCTCCATTATCTTTGCTCTAGTAAACTATACCTGTTCTTACCATGTATCCTTCTGCACTAGAGTTAGCACTTTCCTCCAGGCTACGATAAATAGGTAGAATATTCCTGAATTTCTCCTTTGATCCAGTCACTTCTCCAACTTCAGAAAAAGAGTCTTCTCTTTCCTTTTGCCCAAATGAAATAATGCATATAAAAAAGCAGCTAGCTAGCATGATGCCTGGTTCATAGCAAGTGCTCGAACATGTTAGTCAGTGCAATATTATTTTGCCTCTTAAGTAACCTGTTTAGATTTACTAATGATTCTTGTGTCCTTCAAAATGCCATTTACCATCCAACAACTATCTAGAACAAGGCATCTCAAACTTTAATGTGCATACATTTTGCTTAGAAGTCTTGTAGAAATGCAGATTTGGTAGCAAGGGAGGTCAGGTGGAGTGACAAGGAGTGGTCTGAGAATCCACCTTTCTAAAAGGACAACAGTTTGAACAGAGCACTGGAAGATCTTGAAAATAAAATGGAAAACCCAGACTTAAGAAAAAACCAAAACCAAACTCGCTGCCATCGAGTTGATTCTGAATCATAGCAACCCTACAGGACAGGGTAGAGTTGCCCCAAAGGGTTTCCAAGGCTGTAAACCTTTTACAGAAGCAGATTGCCACATCTTTCTCCCACGAATTCAAACTGTCAACCTTTCGGTTAGCAGCCAAGCGCTTTAACAACTGCGCCACCAGGGCTCACAGACTTAAGAAAGGAACACTAAATGTAAATCCTTTAAAAGTGATTATTTTTCATGAGTGTTCAATGGATATCAATATAGCATGTATGATATTTTACAAATACTCTCTTAAGAGAGAAAACTCCAGGATGCAGGGCTCACAGATGTGTAGCAGCAATCCCAGGGGACTGAGATTTCAATTGGCAAACAAACTCAGAACTGCAGTAAGAAAATAATTGTAATAGCAAAAGACAGAATTAGTTCTGGAAAAAAGATGCTTCAAAGCAGATGTTTATCCTGTATAAAACAATGTCTGCACTCCGAAGTGGTTTAAAATAACTGAACTCCTTATTACAGTTTAAATAAAAAAGAAAAAGTTACACTGTCTTTGCTTTAAACATAAAACTATGCCACTAAGAGACAATTTACTTTGATTTTTAACATGGTTATCCTTTCTTGCTGGTGTATTAGACTCTAACCTAATTCAACACAGTTGTGTAGACAGTGGGGCTCATGGCTCCAGGCTCAGGACAATGATCTGTCTGACTTGCTGAAAGTGACTTTGTCAAACAACTTGTGAGTGTTTTGATTTAAAAAAAAAAAGAACTTTGATAAAGAAAACTCACCATAAAAACTCATGAATGACCAGTGAGTATAAATAATATGAAGGTTATATTAAAAACAGCCTCCTGGAAATGTAAGATGTGAAGTTATGGGATTGTGTCTAGTAGGCTATAACTCATGCTTCCATGCCTTTCCTCCCCGCAGCACTGAGTGAACAAGGAGTGGAGTAATATACTGCCCCAACGTGCACACAAACGATTTATGAGTCCACATGTGCCATTTCAGTATGCTCGGATTATACAAGGGTGAATGAGGCATTTCTCATAAATTCTATTATTTCAAGACTTCAATTACAAACAGTGGAAAACGAATGGCCAATAATCCCTACATCATTAAAATAAATACTGATTCCAACACTTTCTCCATCCCTGGCTATTCATTTCAAGACTTTATTATCAGTAATCTTGCTACAAAGGTATGGCTGCTGCATAGACTGAATTTCAGAGTGGGGGAATCCATTATTTCAAAAGTTCTCCACTTTCTGCCTTAAATGCACGGCCAGTGTCTATTGCTAGTGATTTCAAAATGGAGTTCTAGGAAACTCAAGTGGTCCCATCTAAGCAAGGGTTTACTAAGTTGTGATTTAGCAAAGATTTCTGGGAATTTGGGGTTTGTTCCTGTTTGTCTGTTTTCTCTGCAGTCCTGTTCTGATTTCAAGGATGGAACAGTCAACCAAATAATAGTGTGATCCAAAGGGCACCAGAAACATTCCTATGCTTTCCTGTGTTTTTTACATTTTTGTGAACAGTGATAGCAAGTATATTACTAGATACTAAATTTTGAAGCTCATGTACTACTCTTCTATTATTGCAAATAGATAATGGGAGAAATAGTACCTGCAAAGGCATATTAATTAACATTTTAAGTGGAGGATGACTCTCTCAGGTTATTTCTTATCTTTTGCAGTTAGTTGAGAGGAAAATACTATGGGAATAGAACGCTGTTCAGGCATTTGGGAGTCAGTGAATGGAAAAGAATCAAGCAGTGAGTGGAAAGACATGGACTGATACTAGGGCCTGAGAAGTGGGATTATGGGACTAAAGAATATGAAAGGAAATGAACTACCTCTCAAAGTTTAAAGTGTTGGTGCTTTAATGACTGGTTTGAAATGAAAACATAGAAAATCATGAAATGGCAATCTTCATGGAAAATAACAACAATAATTTTCTACAGTAACGGACTCTTTATCAGGATGCCTTCACACTCGTGTATCGAGACCTCAACGTTAACAACCTTCTATGTTACAATGGTCCACCAAGGCCAGGTAATCTACTTCATACAAACTCTCAAATTCCTCCATCTCTCTCTATTCCAACTGTCACTAATGTGCTCCCGGCCACCGTCATCTTCTCCTGAATTACTGTAATGCCCACCCAGCAAACTGCCTTGCCTTTACATTTATTCTCCCCTCCAATTCATTTTCTATCCTGTACTCAGTGATCTTTAAAACATGAAGTTGGCTCTAATGTTCCTATGCATAAATCGTTCAATTAAGTTTTCATTTCTCAAACTCCTAAATAAGACTTATAAGGTCCTGCATGATATAGCTTCATCCTTTATCCCCCTGATATTCCAGTCACCACCATTTCCACTCAGCTAAATCCTCTTCATCCTGGTGTCAGCTTTAGTTGCCATTTCCTACCCTCACTCCCAATCTTCAGGTTCAGGTTCATTGCCCCTTATATATCCCATAGCACTCTGCACTGCTTTTATTGTAGCTGTTATCCCTTTGCATTTTAATTGCCTTTACATTTGTGTTTCTGCTTAACTAAACTATAAGTTCTTTGAGGGCAGAATTGTTTACATAATCTTTTTACCATAGATATTTAGTGTTTAGCACGGTGCTTGGAACACAACAGGGATTACATAAGAATTAGAAGGACAAAAGAATGAATAAAGGTTAGTGCTCAGGTTTGCACGGTCTTTGGCCCACCTCTTACATCTCCTTCTTGACTCTGCATGCATCCACAACACTTTGAGGACATCAGAAGAAGGAAGATGAAA